GTAGACTGATTTCATGAACACTCTCTCATGAGTTTTCTCACTGTAAAAAACCGCTTTGAAGCTTTAAATTCAGGTAGCCTCTTATCACCAACGTGTTTTCTGGCTCTGTGATCTATCGAGCTCATGTTCTCCTAACCTGTTTCAGATTTAACCAGTGCCTGTCGCATGTTGACGAACCCATGAAGCTAGTTAAGATTTCTGTATTAAGGTTTAAAAATCAGAGAAATTCATCAGAGATGAGCCGGTGATTATATCCTAAAATTTTTGTTTTATTTAACACTAGCGGCCCGCCCTCGCTTCGCTTCGGTGTAGAGCTGTAGTGTAAACTATAGTTTTTGTTCTCAGGCTTGTGCTATAAACAATGACTTTATTTATATAATTACACGTGTTATTGTGAGTCAACCATAAAAGATAGACATAAGCTGTTGCAGGATATTTTTTAGACAATTTTATGTAGAATATTTCCGTCATACATGATTTCTTTGTAACTTTAACCATTAAGGATGCACACGCGACGGAAGCTTAAAAAATGGAGTAACTTCTCCCGTTTTCCCAACATTTCCCTTCACTACTCTGCTCCTATTGATTGAGTTTTTGTTTCTATAAGGAACATACACACAGACAGACAGACAGACAAAAATTTTACTGATTGCATTTTTGGCATCAGTATCGATCACTTATCACCCCCTGATAGTTATTTTGAAAATATATTTCATGTACAGAATTGACCTCTCTACAGATTTATTATAAGTATAGATGAATGACGAAGGAGATTTGATTTAACATCGAAAACAACTATTCAAGGTCTACCTACACCATTCGTATTTGCCTGTCTACCCTATTTCCCATTTTATTTGGGCATACAATTAGATGATCATCAAAAAATAGAACTTAACCTCAAAAAATCCTAATTGTATTTTTAGGTGGTCATTTATTATTTTTTGAGGATAATTTAAACATTTCCCTTTTATTTGGGGTAGACTTCAATATTGTTTCCTCCTCTTTTTGATTCCAAGCCGTCATCTCAACATTACATATAACAAACATACTTGCAGCATATAACTGCTTTTCTAACTGCTGATTTAGGTAGGTAGGGGACGACTTGTTTTATTTTCAAGTGTCTGTTTAGGTGTGAAAAAACTCTGTTTCATCACTTTCCATTTAAACAAAAGTGTTTCTGCATTGGACTTAAGGTCTACTTTGATTAATTGGAAAAAAAAACTAGCATAAGAGAAAGTGAACAAGATTTTGTAATTATCATAAATTATGTTAGCGCAGGAGGAGCAATTACCCCTGTTACGGAAAGTTAACTGTGGGTATTTGCTAATTTCTATAATATGTACATACAAGACCTAGACATGGCGTTGCGTAAGAAGGAACCAGCGAGTGTTGCGTTTGAAAAAAAACTTGTTGATCGTTTCCAGGGTCTGCTGGCGACTTTACAAAGTATAAAATATGTATGGTCGGTTTCCTAAGTAAAATGTTAAAAATCTAAAAAAATGTACAAATACATCCACTGGGTGTACATCTCATCTCAGGATAGTTCGTGATCCTCCGACTCCTCCCACATAGGCCACAAACACCAACACTACACAGCTAGAAAACTTACACACTAGCTTAGCATTATACAGACACCGCACCTGTAGGATAAGAGAGCGAGGAGCCGGTCTATACATGACACGCTAAACCAGTTACAGATATGTACTTGAGCTTTTTTCCCTGCCCCCCACGACAACAACTAACTAGAGCTGAGGTCCGAGTCTCAAAGACGCCCTCTAGTTGAGCCGACCTCTTCAGGTCCCCCCCCCCCTGGAATCTTCTTCCGCCCGGACAGAGGAAGATGCGGGTTCAAATTCCATCTGAAACCTGGACCGAGTGGAATTATTGAAGTGATAACTTCTTATGGGAAGGGTAAAGCGGTTCGTTACGTAACGAGTTACGGCGCCAGTCTATCTGGCTTCCCTTCGCCGCGGATAGATATAAAGATTGAGAAGTAACAGTATATTGTGGAATGGGCAAGTATGATATGATGAGAGAAACATGTAACAAACAAGATGTTCTATATTGTAGGTAGATATATTAAGAAAAAGGAAGACTGAAGTGAGACCTTAGAGAGAGAGGAAGAAAGAAGAGCCACACTGACTCCAAACATCATTTCATCTTAGCATTTGCTCCTTTTTGTATGCCATCAGTGGCCATCTTAAAATAAAACCTTCTGTGGAAGAACATAAAAATACCCCAGTTGTCAACTTGCAATAAGTTTATAACTCATTATCTATACAAGTTTAAAAAACTTAGGTAGTTGTCATTAAATTAAATTTTGTTATTTCTAATTTAAAACATCTCAAATACAATGTAGCAAGCAGACCACTCATACCTTGTCTATTACTTGTCCAAATACAATAATTTCTAACTTGCTAAGGCGTAAATATTACGAGTTGTCTTCTTAAAATACGTGCGTAAGATGAACACATTGTGCTGTCAGCAACCATAACGGCTTTCCCTTACATAACATGATTTTTATGTAAATTAGTGGACACGTGTAAAATCTCGCAAGTGAAAACGAGCGTTTTCGGAGGAACGGAATGGAATGAGGCGATAATTAACTGGCAACACAAGCCAGAAGATGTGTAAGGTTTCGCTTAAATCCATAAAAAGAAAAGTTCCATTCAAAAAAGTTCGAGTTCAATCCTCGCGATACAAGATTTACGCAACCTGTAAAGCTAAAAGACGTCTTGAATGGGTGGTAGAAAAAATTAATATTTTCAATAAGTTAATTCGAATAGTGTATCCTAAATTCATTACATTTCTTGCCCTGTGGTATGGGGGGGAGGTGGGGGTGGAATAACGGCATGGATACAACTAAGACAATCCGAAATTGAAGATGATAATCAGGCGTGTATTTTGAAATTTTGCATCCCGAGACATTTCCGATTTGCGCCACCGCCAGCTCGTTTCTAGGTCTACTCGCTTATCGTTCATCGTCGATGATGGTCGAAGTGCCGGCGGTGCTCGCTATATTCTCAGGATTGTCATGTGCGACGCTGACGGACTGACAAGCGATACCTTATAGTCTACACAATCACACATCAAAAATTATGGGGTTTAAAACAGTGTTTCTTCTGATTCCTCGGTCCTGAGTTCAAATAACTGTAAGGGCAATTTATATTTAGTGATGGGCAGGATATTTTCCGAGTTATGACAGCGGACGTGGAGGCATTCTCATAGTTCCTTATGTCACCCATTGTGTACGGAACTGTAAAACCCGCGGTAGAGAATTCGAATCAGTGCACAGTTAGTGTGATTTGTCTGCAATGTTCTGTAAAGTATCAGCTTTTTTGCTCCGTGGGTGGAAGTTCTTTCCCAAGCAGCCCTTCTGATTTGAGCGGTAAATCACCTGTAATTTGACTCTAAACGTCTCGTAAGTTAAATATTAAGGTTACTATTTTAAGACCAGGTAAACCAAGATGGAACTGAGTGGCGCACTGCTTAGCGCATTCGGTCTGCTTTCATGGAAGTTATAACGTTGGTTATAGGTAGCGGCAGAGGCGTATTTGAACAGCATTTACACTATCCAACTTTAAGGGCTCTATCGAAAGGGTGGGCTTTGCCCCTAGCTAGGGTAGCAATTATTACACTGGGTATCGGGTGATCGGGTCCCTTACTCCCTAACCCATGTTACACCACCACCACAAGTCAGGATAATGGTCCCTTAAAATTGGGTAGTGTAAATACAGTTTTACCCTAGGGCCAAGAGAGCCATGGCCCTGGGCGGCAGGCTCCGGGCGGCTGCAAGAGCTGCGAAGGATGTCAGAAGGCATATAAAGACATTAGTTGCTGACTTAATTTACATCAAATTTGCATCAAATGAAAATATAGGCCAGCAATTAATGCCTTTATATACCTTCTGACACCCTTCGCAGCTCTTGCAGCCGCCCAGGGCCATGGTCATGGCATGGCCCTCTTGGCCCTAGGGTAAAACGGTAGTTTTGGGGGAGGGGTGCAAATCGTAAGTGGCCTGGGGAGCTAGATTTAGAAGACGCCCCGAAATAGCGACAAACTTCTTGAGCAAAACCACAGGCAAACAAACTTGCGCAGTAGACGTTTTTGTATGTAAATTTACTACTGCGCAGACCGGCTGCATTTTTCATGGTTCATGCTCAAAATGTTTAGCAATGGTCGGTCTGATTGAATGGGTAACTAATAAATTATCATTCGAGCTCCTCGGTGCTTCGTCTGCTGTAAAGCTGTAAGTCCCACGGTGGGACTCCACCCGTTTTTAACACCCACCAAGTGTCAATGCTCAACGGGCCCACCTACTTTTTGATGGCCCTTTCTTTCTATCCTGCCGATTATATAGAAAAGGCGGTTTCGGTACCCGCAGTGCCATAACTATACATTGGTTGAATTTTCGTGGAGCCCGAGCTGTCACAAAAAAAAAAAAAATGTGAAATTTGACAGCCGTTTTTAAAATATCTATCTATCAAATGTTAATTCAAGAGGTATTGCGATAACAGCTGAGAAGTTAGACAGACTTTATACACTAACATAGGACATACTGGGGTCGATTCTGGCATGATTATCTAAACTTAAAACTAAATTTAAGATCAGTCTCTCTTTTTCATTTTGTATGGAGAATGACAAGGATACGCTGTTGTCAAATTTAAGTTTAGATTTAGAGAAGCATGCCAGAATCGACACCACTGCTTTATTAAGATCCCAGAAAGGTAGGTAAATTAGTGCTTAATAGATTAATTGCTGCATTTTTTGTTACATTAGAAAATAGATACAACGTTCCATTCTCCGCAAAATTACTTGTCTAGCTTGTTTGACCTTCGAGGCCAAGGAAAGACCGTATAGTGGTACCTATAAGCTATACAGAACAATTATGTTCTATATCTACTTTCCTCAAGGAAAATAAGTTTAACAAGGTTTTGACAGTTTATACAGATAGTTCTAAGATACCAGGCATTTATTAAAAATAAATAAAAGAAATTTACCTGTTTTTATTCCATGTTCAGTAGGACGTAGCTGTTCGTTGTTTTCTATTTTTAATATTCCATTCTAAGGCACGTTCCAGCTCCAACAGCGATTGAATGTTATTTTATTACAAAATTATGCGAATTACTAAATCCATAATAAACAGCCGATGGGAAGAAACCCGTTTACGTGTTAAGAAATTCCACTTGAGCTTGTACACTTGAATTTTAACAGAGAAACGACACTGAATAGTTCGAAACTTTCAATTTAAAAAGTTTGTATAGTCACCGAGTAAGTTTTTTCTGGTTTATGAATGCACCCACTCAAAAAAGTTCTTTTTTCAAAAACATTCACTACGAAGTCGATGATTCTGTATGCGCATACACTGACGTCAACACTTTCCGTCGGCGAAACGGCGACTGTCTAGGACCAATCGGCGTCTTGCATTCTCCAAAGATCGCGGTATTATACAAACAAATTAAAATGGTCGATGCTAATGTTGAAATACCTTATCGGGTTCGAGTTGTTTGAAAAGTTGCCCTATTCATTGGTTAAAGAAACTTGAGCTCTTCTAGACTTTATTTTCTATGGCCGAAGCTTTAAATTTCTCGGGTTTACTTTTAGGGACTCGGAAGGTGCATATTTTGCTCTTGGTATTCATTGTTAGATTTATGTCGTTAGAATTAAGTCTCACATTACGTTGGCGGTAAACGGACGAAGTTTTAAGTTGACTGCGATCAACTTAAAATAGTCTTTATGACTAGTTCAGTTAACGTTGAAATTCTTGAAACTTTGGTTTTCTAACATGTTGTTCACCTTAGAAGAAATGTTCGACCTCGTATGGTATGCGCTGTGCATTTCAAAGTTACCTCGAGAGCCTGTGAGGAATCTTGATTTTATAAGTAGGCTGAACAACCATAATACTTCAATATTTGTGTGACGTAATTTTTTCCTTAATCTTGGCTCCTCTCTTGATGCAATGAGCCAATGACATAAGTTCGACTATACATGATTTTATGGTCGCCATCGTCGAAATTTAGTCGGGAGAGCGGGTGTTAAATCCTTATTGATACCTTACTAAAACACAAACGTGGGGGGACGCCTCTGGTCATAAGGGCCTCATGAGCTTCTTTTGATGCCCCCCTGATTCTGATTATCCCCTGAGAAGGGGATGATGCCGGGTCCTGGTCCTGGGTTCTATTCGATGGAGGAGATCTACTACGTATTTTGTTTTGTGTATTGTAATCTGGCATAATATAGTATCTACCTAGTTATGTTTTTATTTTTTAAGCATTTAACTGCTAGATGTTTAAATCGAAACAAAAGTTTACCTACTAGAAAAAAAATCCACGCAGTCCAGGCAGTGGACGGGACTCGAACCCGCATCCTTCGCAATCCGGGCGAATGCACTTGACCATTATGCTACCACGGCCCTTTTCGCCGCGTCGAAATTTTGCTAGCCTTAAGTTGCAAGGCAGCGCCATCTCTAGGCATCTACCTAGTTTTCAACTTTTGGCAAAAGCTTGTGATGTTCACTCCAACGAAGTAAATGTTTGGCGATGATGGCTAATAAAATAGATAACATAAATTTGGCACAAAATTTAAACCTCAGGGACCAAGGTGGATGATCACAATACAGAAGATCACTGTATAATATTAATATCTACCATTTTGCTGGTGTTTTATTTAATTCTGTCGGTGGGTAAGGTTTCAGGGTTCTACGGGATACGGGATTGAGTTGAGTAGGTACCTGTCTATTCAAAATAATCGACAGACTTTTTGAGCTCTATAAATAAATCCACAGAACAGAGTGGGTAGTAGAGTACTATTTTTTAGTTTTAATTTATTTTCATGCAAAGATAACAATAAAAATATTTCAACTTTTTGAATATTTTTCAATAAAGGTTATTTTGCGGCTGGAGATGGCACTTAATATGATAGCACATGAATAACTTATAGTTTTCACATAATAAACTACGACAGCTTAATACAAGTACACAGAAATGTGCAAAGAAAGAAAGAGACAAACAATGAATAAATTACCTACAAGTCACAATCAATCAATCAATCTAAGAACTCTCAGCATTTATAACAATAGGTAATTAAAGAAATTCACATCGTTCGTACAGGCACAGTAGTTGTAGCAACGTTAGAGTACCTACTTTAGTAGGTCCTTACTTGCTTACATGATAATGTTAGAACAATTAATTGATATTGAATAATGCTTCATGTAATGTTCTAAAATAGTATAAAGTTAGCCTAGCCCAAAGTAAGCACTGTAAGGCTTGTGTTATGGGATGCTAGGGTAACGGATAGAAAACATATACAGTACTTAAATAAGTATATTTATATAGAAATACATATTAAACACCCATGACTGGAGTACAAATGCTCGTGGTCATCACACAAATATCTGCCTCCACCGGGATTTAAACCCGGGACCTCTCGAGTCGGCGACACCATAAAACCCGGCGTACAAACCACTCGGCCACGGAGGTCGTCATTGAGAATAGTGTGTTAACTGCCAGCCTTCTATCAATAATAAGTAGACTATATAACAGGATACCAAACCAAGGTGTAGCATATTATTCTACCCAAGCTAATGTTGAGAGTGGAGTCGAGGCTCGAAGACTCCAGAAAGAAGAAGGAATAAGAAGAAGAATTGGTTAAAAGTGTGCCACTCTAGTCATCCTCTCCTTGCCGGTCTGGCCCCAATACCACTTCCCGTGAATTTTACTCTTCTACAGAAACGCAACACCACCTTATAGGTAGTGTTATTTTATTGTGGTCTTCTGAAAGGCTCTAACAACCCCATATGGGCGCTTCCATATTCGAACTGAATACTTTCCTTTGTCATCAACTTGTGATTTCAGTGGACACCACTTATATACAGTGAACATCAGCTGAGAAAGCAGTAAAGGTAGACAAATTATACACTTTTAAACGTAACTATGAACCTATTATATACGTTTACACGTAACTATGAACCTATGGAATAAATTATCCTATCATACTACTAAATCAGTTTATAGACGCATTGTTATTGTGCATTCAGCATTATACATAAATAATATAACATTTTCACTTCCATACAAAAAACAATCGACACCTAAAATTGTCTATTTATTCATGAAATTATTTACGATCGAATTTGGACTCTGGGTCCCAGTGATAAGTTTGATGTTTGAATTCTTTTTACGGATTCGTATTTTGCGCGGGAAGTCACGTTTGTTGACGGAAGCGCACACCAGTACGTGAGTGACAGCGTTGGACTTGGGTTTTCTAAACAACAAACATTAAAGCGAATGGAGAAAGAAACATTTTTAAATAAATCAATATGCGAGAAAGCGATTCGGTAGCTGAGTCGATGTAACCCTTTGTATTTGCTCCATGATGTAACCCCATGATGCAAATAAAAATCGAACATCAAGCAGACGTCCTTCGCAAGTTCGCAGACTGCTGCCCCGTTTAAATTTAGGGTAATGGTATTTTGAGGTAGGACATTGCCCCATAATGCTCCCACCCTCTAGCTACGGTCCTAAGATCAAGCTTCTAACACCATTTTGGGCTTTGCATTGGCTTGGCATTTTGGGCGGATCCATGTATACAAATATATAGTGCTGTCTGTGAAGACAGCACTATATATTTGTATACATGGATCCGACCCTCGTTGTCCTACTCGATAAAATTATAAAAATCCTTAAACACGACTTCAGCGCCACCTACCTGGTGGTGTTGTAAGCTCATTTTTCTGTATCAATTTTTCCGTAATCACGTGATATTTTTTTTGGCATTTTTAACCCCCTCTCCCTCTTGGTGATACATGGTGAGGTTTAATCTCACCATCGTATCACTTTTCGTTATCATGTGTATTTTTTAGTACCTACAAAATATTTATAAGATACAGGTATACTTAAGTATCATCTAACTTTATTATGGAAAATTAAAGACTACAATAATAACGTTTAGAGGTAGACAGAAAAGTTGCAGGTTGTTTCTGACTGACATAAATATAATGAAAGAAAACGAAAAATTATTTAATGTACAGTATCCTCGGACCACGGAAATACACGTGATATATTCCTACACCCCCCTCCCCTGTTGTGATATTTCGTGATTTTTTATGGACCCCTTCCCCCCCTTTCGAGCCTCACGTGATTAATGGACAACCCCAAAGTTCCTTGAAAACTAAAATAAAAATGGATGACATCGGGAAAGTCTTTGTCAGGTTATGGTGTGGCGTATGACCAAGTGAAATAGAGAGAGATTCAATTTCATTTTATAATATACCTAGATCATTCTAGTCTAGATGCAAAAATATAAAACAGGCGTAGAGTTGTTAACCCTAGGCCCTAGGGTTTGTAAAATAAAATACATAAGCTTAAGAAAATACATACTTTATTCATTAAATAGGTACGTAACTTAGTTCTTTGTACAATCACTGTTATTGTAACTTAAGATAGGTAGATACAGCCAGTTAAATACATATGGCAATCCGGCCACAATAGAAATATTAGTTATTTATATCTTATTTTTGACATTGATGTAGATTTCGCATTCAATGAAATAGCATATTAAAATTGAGATTCGTCGTCAAAATATAATTTAATAATAAAATGGTTAATGCTGCAAATAACCTATAAATGGTTTAGATATGTGAATTTATATTTCCTTTTGACTAGCTTTTATAATGTAATTTGATCCGTACTTTATTTAATTATAATAGCAGCATTTTACCTGAAATAAAATGCATATTAAAATACTTACCTCACTGAAAGCTTTATATTGAGATAGCACTTCCGTTTCCCGTCGAATTACCATCAGTTTCCGTACTTTTATTCACCTTGTATCCGGTCCAGTGGCGACACCTGGCAGAAGCGCGGCCATTTTTGTTTTCCTAAGTTTTGACAGCGCCATATTAACTCATTGGCTCAATTATTTCACCAGGCAGAATTTAAAGTGAAAGCTTTCAGTGAGGTAAGTATTTTAATATGCATTTTATTTCAGGTAAAATGCTGCTATTAAACTACTTGACCGTCACTGAAAGCTTTATATTGAGACCTGTTTGTTATCGCCTGGTGATCGCCACTTACATAGATATATACGCCAATGTGACAATTTATGATAAATTTAAATATTAACATTTATCAGATTATATGAAACTGTATAAAGAAACGAGTAAGCTTAAAAATGAATCAAATAATATTATTTGAATCACGCCTTTAATTTCTTCAAGCTTACGAAGCTGCTTTAACATATATATTAGCTGATCGCTATATTCCTTTGCTTAAAACTATGACCGGACGCTTCCTTGTGTAGCATTCATTTGTATCTTTGTATATCACAAATAAGGCGTACGAACGCGAGAAAAAGATGTAAAGTTGTTCGATACCGAGTCTTACATTTTACAAGACTGTACTTTTTACTTAAGTACCAAAAATCAG